AGATGTGTTCAAAGCCAAGGGTACTGTGCTGTGGCGAGTATTTTCCGAATCTTAGCTCAGCGGTGCGAGAATTGTTACATTGTATCCGCAAAATGCACTTGTTTATATAGCAACAAATGGACATACGCAATTTCGGGGACGACGTAGGGAGAAATATATGTAATGTTACTAAAAATGGGATATTACCAAGGTTTTTAGAGCTACGTAGGGTAGTAAAAAAGGCAGAAAGAGCAGCTTATTGGACAGGAATTATGAGGTAGGGACTGAGAAAATGATGTCACTTTGAAAAGTGACGCAAAGTTGAGACTGCAAATTCAGCGCTTTACAATGATAAATAGGTTTTCTCTATAAATATACTAGCTCTGATACGATGATTCTGGCATACGTATTGCAATAATGTGATCATGTTAAAGGGACAGGATATGGTTAAATACTGATTATAGATATTAAAGGGACACACACTGGATAAATACGATATAATAAATAGCTATATACAGGGTGGGTCTCTACAACTACCCCCTTCTTAAAAAATTCAGTTTTGTCCTCAAACATAAAAATCAAGCTAATTAAGCTAACCGCCTCACTGTATTCAGGAGAATTTACATTAACAAGTCACAACAAATCACCCAAAAAGTCTATGCACTGTTCAAAAAGTCTAAGTCCAGCCCCTCCAAGTCTACATCCGGCCCTTCCAGGTATTCTCCAACCGCTCTGCTGTCCATCCCCAGCAGAGGATCCCCGCTCTCCGCCAGCAATCCTCGGACCAGAGGGGAATCTGCTAGTTCCGGCCCGTCCTCTAAATCCCGCAGGGGATGCACAGCGGCTGTGAGCTGGGGCATCGAGATCGATGCGGGATCGACCCCCAGCTCCTGCCCCGTGCCATCCCCCTCCTTGGGTTGAGATCCTTTGGATTTCTTTCGGGGCGGCTCCTCGACGGTAGGGTGTCTGCGCCTATGGAAGGCCAGAGCCTCTGCATCTGATGGAGTAAAGGCAGCCGTACAACTTCCCACTCCGCAGGCCACGGAGGCATCAAGAGACTGAAACCCCTGTTGAGAATTCCCAACCCTCAGATTTTGAGATGCCCCAGCTCACAGCCGCTGTGCATCCCCTGCGGGATTTAGAGGACGGGCCGGAACTAGCAGATTCCCCTCTGGTCCGAGGATTGCTGGCGGAGAGCGGGGATCCTCTGCTGGGGATGGACAGCAGAGCGGTTGGAGAATACCTGGAAGGGCCGGATGTAGACTTGGAGGGGCTGGACTTAGACTTTTTGAACAGTGCATAGACTTTTTGGGTGATTTGTTGTGACTTGTTAATGTAAATTCTCCTGAATACAGTGAGGCGGTTAGCTTAATTAGCTTGATTTTTATGTTTGAGGACAAAACTGAATTTTTTAAGAAGGGGGTAGTTGTAGAGACCCACCCTGTATATAGCTATTTATTATATCGTATTTATCCAGTGTGTGTCCCTTTAATATCTATAATCAGTATTTAACCATATCCTGTCCCTTTAACATGATCACATTATTGCAATACGTATGCCAGAATCATCGTATCAGAGCTAGTATATTTATAGAGAAAACCTATTTATCATTGTAAAGCGCTGAATTTGCAGTCTCAACTTTGCGTCACTTTTCAAAGTGACATCATTTTCTCAGTCCCTACCTCATAATTCCTGTCCAATAAGCTGCTCTTTCTGCCTTTTTTACTACCCTACGTAGCTCTAAAAACCTTGGTAATATCCCATTTTTAGTAACATTACATATATTTCTCCCTACGTCGTCCCCGAAATTGCGTATGTCCATTTGTTGCTATATAAACAAGTGCATTTTGCGGATACAATGTAACAATTCTCGCACCGCTGAGCTAAGATTCGGAAAATACTCGCCACAGCACAGTACCCTTGGCTTTGAACACATCTCGAGAAGTTGGGCTACATTCACCACGGATTCATGAGCAACGTAGTTTTTGACCAAAAGCGGGGTGTTGGCGTTTGGGTAAGTTAATTCTTAGTACTGTATAGAAATCCATAGCATTCCATAAGGGAGTGAAGGGATTTAAGACAGTAATATTGATCGATAATTGAACTTTGAAGAAACATTTTGAAACTTTCATTTTTTCCCGCACATATTTTCTAACGGTGTTAATCTGCAGTCTGTAACAGTTGAACAAGATTGGGAGTTTGTCCTGATAAGCCCATATGCTGGGAAGGTTCAAGATAGTACAGAATAGAGATTCACGTTATCAATTATAGGGAAATATTGATCAAATTAAATCATAACTTTGGGGAGCAGACGACTTAGTCACGTGATCACATACGTCACTTTTGAAGTCTAGATTCATTCATTAAAACTTGAGCATCTTTGTGGATTATTGTATCCTAGACAGCTTTTAACTTAAACTTGAATTTGATTGTAATTGAAAGAAGTCCTTACGGGCACATTCCGTTGAGTTTGCACCTCTGGTGTTTAAAATAACATCCTTAGTCTTTGACGGTTGAAAGTTCACAGCTCTTTCCCATTTATCAAAATCTCGTTCGGGCTTTTAACGCATAGCTGACGTCACTTTCCATGCTATTAGTTCCCGACTGAATTTATAGAGGGCATAAAATTCAACTTTATTACAAGATCGTTGTTGGCAATTCTGTTCTGATTTGAAGTAGTATCCCGGTCATAATTTTGAAGACATTTTATCAGACTGCAGATTTCAGCGTTATTGAGTTTAATTTCATTCTAATAGATTTAAAGACATTAAGCATTTATGTAAATTATAATCTATATAATTTAAATACTATTTATTCGCATTGTACATATATATTTCAGTTGTGACATAAAACGCAAGTATAATAGAATAGACTTTATTGAATGAATATATTTCTTGTGTGATTTACTATTAGTTGGTAGTTGGTGTGGTGATATTTAAAGAACCTAAACCCTTATTCCTTTTAGCTTGCTGTGTTGTATTTGTGTAGGTTTATATATTATCTTGTAACTTCACCCTTTTTACACTAGACCTATCATTCTATCATATTCCTGACACCGATTCATCACTTACCTCATTAGTAATTTCTTATGAAGTACTAGTCCAATTTCCCTTTGTTCTGGCTCACGCTTCCTATATTTCTATAATTCACTTCCGGGTTATTGGATAGTATTTTATAATGGTGGCAGCGGTGGGATCTCGATGCAATAAAATACTATCCAATAACCCGGAAGTGAATTATAGAAATATAGGAAGCGTGAGCCAGAACAAAGGGAAATTGGACTAGTACTTCATAAGAAATTACTAATGAGGTAAGTGATGAATCGGTGTCAGGAATATGATAGAATGATAGGTCTAGTGTAAAAAGGGTGAAGTTACAAGATAATATATAAACCTACACAAATACAACACAGCAAGCTAAAAGGAATAAGGGTTTAGGTTCTTTAAATATCACCACACCAACTACCAACTAATAGTAAATCACACAAGAAATATATTCATTCAATAAAGTCTATTCTATTATACTTGCGTTTTATGTCACAACTGAAATATATATGTACAATGCGAATAAATAGTATTTAAATTATATAGATTATAATTTACATAAATGCTTAATGTCTTTAAATCTATTAGAATGAAATTAAACTCAATAACGCTGAAATCTGCAGTCTGATAAAATGTCTTCAAAATTATGACCGGGATACTACTTCAAATCAGAACAGAATTGCCAACAACGATCTTGTAATAAAGTTGAATTTTATGCCCTCTATAAATTCAGTCGGGAACTAATAGCATGGAAAGTGACGTCAGCTATGCGTTAAAAGCCCGAACGAGATTTTGATAAATGGGAAAGAGCTGTGAACTTTCAACCGTCAAAGACTAAGGATGTTATTTTAAACACCAGAGGTGCAAACTCAACGGAATGTGCCCGTAAGGACTTCTTTCAATTACAATCAAATTCAAGTTTAAGTTAAAAGCTGTCTAGGATACAATAATCCACAAAGATGCTCAAGTTTTAATGAATGAATCTAGACTTCAAAAGTGACGTATGTGATCACGTGACTAAGTCGTCTGCTCCCCAAAGTTATGATTTAATTTGATCAATATTTCCCTATAATTGATAACGTGAATCTCTATTCTGTACTATCTTGAACCTTCCCAGCATATGGGCTTATCAGGACAAACTCCCAATCTTGTTCAACTGTTACAGACTGCAGATTAACACCGTTAGAAAATATGTGCGGGAAAAAATGAAAGTTTCAAAATGTTTCTTCAAAGTTCAATTATCGATCAATATTACTGTCTTAAATCCCTTCACTCCCTTATGGAATGCTATGGATTTCTATACAGTACTAAGAATTAACTTACCCAAACGCCAACACCCCGCTTTTGGTCAAAAACTACGTTGCTCATGAATCCGTGGTGAATGTAGCCCAACTTCTCGAGATGTGTTCAAAGCCAAGGGTACTGTGCTGTGGCGAGTATTTTCCGAATCTTAGCTCAGCGGTGCGAGAATTGTTACATTGTATCCGCAAAATGCACTTGTTTATATAGCAACAAATGGACATACGCAATTTCGGGGACGACGTAGGGAGAAATATATGTAATGTTACTAAAAATGGGATATTACCAAGGTTTTTAGAGCTACGTAGGGTAGTAAAAAAGGCAGAAAGAGCAGCTTATTGGACAGGAATTATGAGGTAGGGACTGAGAAAATGATGTCACTTTGAAAAGTGACGCAAAGTTGAGACTGCAAATTCAGCGCTTTACAATGATAAATAGGTTTTCTCTATAAATATACTAGCTCTGATACGATGATTCTGGCATACGTATTGCAATAATGTGATCATGTTAAAGGGACAGGATATGGTTAAATACTGATTATAGATATTAAAGGGACACACACTGGATAAATACGATATAATAAATAGCTATATACAGGGTGGGTCTCTACACAACAAATATTATTTTCAGAAATAAAACCCGGAAGTGCAGAAATGCGGTTGCTTACTTCCGGTTCCGGTTTGATCTCAAAATTTTGAAAGTTGAACTTTGAACAAATATCTTCCGATTCTATGCAACATACGTTCACACAACAGCTACAAACATGTTGATGTATATTTTATTAGCTTTACCTATAATATACATAATAAAAAACGCGCTGTCAAGCGACGTGGAGCCGATATTTGGAGTACATGCACAACCGGGAAAATGGTTTGGAATAAAATATTGTGTGTTTTGGTTGATATTCCAACTGCGAAAGTACCAGAATAAGAAAGCAGCTGCAAGTAGCGTGCAAGGTGCAGGATATGGTAGGAGGTCAAGGGCAACACCCCAAGAGATGGATAAAGTTCAGGAGTTACCTAAAGAACACCCAATGGTACAGTGTTCACATTATGCACTTCTCATACAATGTGCATAGCCTCAGTTCTAGCTAATTCTGCTTGGCATTTCATTTTGGATGATAATTAGCCATGGGCCTCCTCTTGTCTCCGATTCTAGGTGGCTCAATGTTGATCATCCAAGTTCATGTAGTTGTTGTGGGTTGTGTACTGTATTTGATTTAATTTGACGGCCGTTTTAATTTGGCGGACTGATATAAACCGCCAAATTAAGTTTCCGCCAATTTTTCTGAAAATCAAATTCCCGGGGATTTTCGTCCAGCGGTTTTTCTATGTGTTACCTTACACTATAAAACTGGTGAAAATCTTGATTGAAACATGGATAAAATGTCAAAAAGCGTGTTCTTGAAGATCTACAAAGTCCCTGCTGGTTTAGATAGAACAATCTGATACGAAGAAAGATAAAATTGCATTATCCATGGCGAGCTGTGAAATGAACAATACAATTGATGATGGTCAATCCACCTAATAACATGTAAATAGAAGCCATATCTTCAAAATTTGCCCAATCCACCAAATTAAATAGCGGCAAATTAAGGCAATTTACAGTATTGGCAAATCCTCCAGTGCTGGAATCTAAATCTGCTGAAAAATTCATAAGCTGAATTTCTGATGCTTGTCACCTCAGTTAGCAGCATCATGCATTCATATCATCTGTCATCTCAATATTTGATCGAAAGCATCATCATCTCAGATTTAATGGTTGTCATTTTACATGTGGCATCTTACATGCAATATCTAATAAGTCTCACTATACTCAGGGCCGTCAGATGGGGGGGTGCGATGGGTGCGACCGCACCCCCCTTTGTTACCCCCCAAAATAAATTTTTAAAAAAAATTAAAAATAATTTTTTTTGAAAAATATTTTTTCTTGTAATTTTTTTTTCATTGACTCATGCACTTTGAAAGTACCCAGAAAGCACCAAATATAATCTTAAAAGTGTAAAATTTTCTAGGGGTATTGGCCACCCCTCACACCCCCACAAAACAATGGAAAAGTTCTAAATTTATTTTAGTGTTTTGTCTCAGACACTTTTAAAGTGCCCAGACATCATCAAATAGCTCCTTCATATAGTTAGTGTTTCTGGGGGACTTGCCCTCTTGCATCTTGGAGGCTCTTGCATCTTGCACAACCCCCCCCCTCTGGCGCCCCCCCCCCTTGACCCCCCCCCCCAAAAAAAAAAATTGTGATTTTCTCAAATTCTTTAATTGACTCATACAATTTGAAAATACCCAGAAAGCACCAAATAGCGTCGTAAAATTGTAAAATATTTTAGGGGGTCACCCCTCACACCCCAAACAAAACAATGAAAAAGTTCTGAATTTGTTTTATGTATTGTGTCAGACACTTTTAAATTGCCCAAACATCATCAAATAGCTCCTTGATAAAGTTAATGATTCTGGAAGACTAACACTTACTCGCCCTCTGGCATCCCCACTCCACCTCCCCCTCTGGCATCCCCCCCTTAACACCCTCCCCCCCAAAAAAAATTGAGATTTTTCAAATTTTTTTATTGACTCGTACATTTTGAAAGTGCCCAGAAAGCACCAAATAGCATCATAAAATTGTAAAAGGACGATTCTCGGTTTGGAGAACGAAGTTCATCAATCTAAATGAGCATTATCCCTGCTTCAGACAAATTTGATTTTTTTACATAATATAGATTTGAATGTCTTCTTTTGAATAGTCATAATTTAATTTGGGTAATATTTCTAGATTTTTCGCAAAAAAATATTAGCGCAGTACACTGATGAACTTCTTTCCCCAAATCGAGACTTGTATTTTATTGAGTCGGTCTATTTGAGCATTATCCCTGCTTCAGACCAATTTGTTATTTTTACATCTTGTAGATTTAAATGTCCTCTTTTGAATATTCATAGTTTAATTTGGGTAATATTTCTATATTTTTCATGAAAAATTTTTTAGCCCAGGAGGCTGTTCTCCAAACCGAGAATCGTCCTTTTCTTGGGAAATATGCGCTTTTAGGCACAGACACTTTTAAAGTACCCAAACTTCATCGAATAGCACCTTGAAATTGTAAATTTTGATATGGGGGACAAACACTTGCTCCCTCTCTGGCACAACAGCCCCACCTCCCCCTCTGGCACCCCTCCCCCCCCCTTTGACACCCCCAAAATTTGAAAAAAATTGTGATTGTTTTTCAATGTTTTTATTGACTATAAATACCTTTAAAAGTGCCCAGAAGCACAAAATATCATCTCTAAATTGTAAAATTTTCTAGGAGAGTTAGCCACCCCTCACATCCCCCACAAAACAAAATAAAATATTATGAATTTCATGTATTGTCTCAGACATTTTTTAAGTGCCCAGACATCATCAAATAGCACCTTGATATGGTCAATGTTTCTGGGGGACAACCCCTTGCTCCCCTACTGGCACCCCACCCCACTTCACCCGCTCATCCTCTTTGACACCCCCAAAAGAATTTGAAAAAAATTCACATTTTTCTTATTGACTCATAACGCACAGGCGTACCAGATGGTTGCAAAGTCGCTCCAAATACAACCAAATTTCAAAATTTTCCCCAGACCCCCCAGAATGTTCGGTTTTTTATTCACTCAACTCTTATTCTTGTGGTGGTGGCGTACTACTTAGAAACTTACACTTTGAAAGTGCCCAGAAAGCACCAAATAGCATCTCAAAACTGTAAAATTTTCTAGGGGGAGTGGACTACTCCTCACACCCCCCACAAAACAATTGGAACGTTTGGAAGTTGCATTTGTTAATTCCAAACCAATATAGGGAGTAACTAACCCCCCCCCCCCTCTGTCTTACGCGATTTGATTTACGCGGCAAAAAAATTGACAATTTTATATTCTCTTTAGTAAGCTAAAAACCGCACCCCCCTTGGAGAAAAGTGTCTTACGGGCCTGATACTTGTCATCTCAATTTTAATACCTATCTTCTTAGTATCTTGTTCATCATATTAATTGATAAAGCTGTGATTAGTACCTTCAATTCTCACAATAACCCATTATCTCAATTAACCAATCAGGTATAAGGGGTGTCACTCAGTCAATAAGCAGGTTCCTAAACATTAGTTTCCTCATTTTTATCATTTTCTCGCCTACTTTGAAGATTTGGATCCAAATCAATTTTCTCAGAAAATAGGCATTTTGTGAATGAAAGGCCCAAAATGGAAAAATAAAGTACATGTAAATGCATGTTTGTCAAAAAAAATATAAAGTAAACGCGTGTATGTACATGTTATTTTAGGCTGTGGATGCTGTATACTTTAATGGTGGGTCAAGGGAAGGACAGTACCTTGTCATGGCAACGGCAAGGAGACATCATAATCTTGTGCAAACTCTACTGTTTTTCAGAGTATGTGTTCTTTCTTAATACCCATATATTACATCTTTCCCTAAGTATGTAGTAAGGGTGTGGTGTAAAGCCAAGGGTTGATTTAGAATGTAAATACATGGACTCGTACATTCAGTTTATTTTATCATTAATTCATTATATTTCATTTTGGCTTTCTTGAGTCTAAATAAACTAAAACATCATATTTATTTAATTTATTGATACTGGTCAGTGATCTTCCCAGGAATAAAGCAAATGGGCGCAGCACCCACCTGAGATTTTAAAAAAAGGCTTGCACCCACCTGAAAATCCATTTGCTTCCTCTTGAGAATGAGAAAAAACATGGGCATTATTTGACCAATTTTGGTCTGAATTGTGAGAATAATAATTATGCACACACTTGAGAAAAAATCATGTGGAAACCAGTGCTGGTCATTTGGCTCAGTGCCCTTCTTAGCCTGTTCGGAATATTATTCTTCGTAACCTTGAATCAAGTTTCTGGTCCCCCATTTTAGGTAAGTAACAAAACATGGCACATAATTCAGTGTTCTCACCATGATTTTTTCTCCAGTGAGTGCAAAATTCTCATTTTCACAATTTAGTTCAAAATAGGTCAAGTATGCCCATTTTACATGATTTTTTCTCATTTTCAAGTAGGTGCAAATGAAATCTCAGCTGGGTGCAAGCTTGTTTTCAAAATCTCAGGTGGGTGCTGCGCCAACTTGCTTTAATGCTAGGGAGATCACTGACATTACTTGTGTTAGATCGAGGAAGAGATTTTAATGATTTCCTAATCTTACAAACATGTTCCTTAATGTTGTACTACTGTTACAGGTTCCTGGTGTAGGTCTTTTCGAATTGCCATCTAAGCCTGACACGTCACACTATACAGAAGACGGTGGTTATTCCATAAAAGATGGACTCAAGATTGAGCCAACTGAAGCTATGAAAAGATGGAAACTCTCTTATGATGGGAAACTCAGGTGTGTATCATTGGCGAATCCAGGGGGGGGTGCACCCTCTTTGGTGGGCTAAGAAAACTGGGCCTAAAAATGTTGTAGGGCCTCAATTAGTTGGCCTTTGGGCATTACTTAGGCCTTACTTCTGGATCCCCCGGTGTGTATTGTGTCTTCAACTTCATTTAAGAAAAATTCAGTGTTTTGTCAATTTTTATACTATACTTTATACTACTAGGTATATGTAACTAAAAAAATAATAACATGGACTAGACAATTACAATGTAACAAACTGACTACGTATTATTTTTTAATTTTGGGCCCAATTTGGGGTCAAAATAGGGGCCTCACATTTTTTAACCCCCCTCCCTCTTCATTTCAAGGATTGACCCTGGATGTATTTAAATAATAATTATATAAGTAAAATAGTAAAACATTGTTTCATTATTAGGTTAACTAAATTAGATAAAACAACATCAGAACATGAAGTTAAATTCTGTCTTGATTGGTCAGCTTACACTCCGCTGTTCGATTTCGACGTGGACATGTCTGTGCCAGCCATGTGTACCAGTATTGCGAGAGAAAAATGGACGAGACAATTTTTTACTAAATTAAAAACGTAAGTACCATGCTATTTCTATAAGTTAAAACGGATGTACAAATCTTTGTTATTGAAGTATTAATTTTTGTTAAGATTACTAATAATTCCTTACTCCAGCTGTATTGTGTCATGGGCGTTGCCAGGTGAGAGACAGGGGAGGCACTTGACTCAACAAGATTTTACAAATATGTTTTTTAGATGTTCTTTCAACTAAAATTGTGGAAATGTAATCCAAAGATAATAATACACCTCCTTCCTCTAAATTTTCCTCACCTATTAATTTTTGCCTCCCTACTAGTTTTTGCCTCACCAATTGAATATTTCACATATTAATTTTTGCCCAACCTATTAATTTTTGCCCCACCTATTAATTTTTGCCCCACCTATTAATTTTTGCCCCACCTATTAATTTTTGCCTTGCATAATTTGAGATACTGGCTACATTACAGTGTAAATAGTAGTGTAGCACCCTCCCCCTGACTGAAAACTGAATTTTTTTTGATGATCACCTTGACTGAAAGCTGGCTACGCCCCTGACATGTTTTTACTATTGTCATAATCTTGTGCTGCATCTTGTGGGGTGGACATGAGCCACATAAATCATGCTCTTTTGGTCGGTCAACTTAAACATTTTTACAGATGCAGACAAGTATCAAGATCTGATTGAGTTTTAGAAATGCATGCTTGGTAAAATTACATTTTGAATTTTTGGGTAAATGAAAAGTGCTTTATTTATCACTGCATGTCTCGTTTGTATTTTATTCAGGGCCCACCAGACCCATTATGAACAGTTTGGTGAGATTACGGGTTCAGTCTGTGTGTCCGGGATGGACGACATTCCTGTTAAAGTTCAGGGTGTTCGGGATCATTCATACGGTAGGTACAGGGCCGTAGGGAGAGGGGGTTCGTAGGGCTCGTGCGAACCCCCCCCCCAAATCTTGCCGAAAAAAATTCGAACCCACCCTTTCTGGCAATTATGCAAACCTCCAAACTTTGAGTAAAATTTTTGCAGTCTTTCAATAATTTATCGTTTTTGGTTCCAAAGACAATTGAGTTATATGTCAAGATGGAAATATGTGAGATTTATAGCTTCATGTCTTCTAATCAATAATGGGCGATAATAGGTATGCTCTTATTGCACTTTAGGCCTGAAATACTGAAGTAATATCTTCAAAATGAATTCAAATGCACAAATAAAGCATACCTACCAAGTTGAAATTATCTGATTGTTGTACATAACGTCAAAATGATCTAATTTTTGATATAAATCAGCAGAGAATTTTGAACATGTGAATGTTTAGTGACACTGGGCCGTGATGCACCAAAATTGTGAACGCTAGAAAATTCTTACTTACAACGTTCTTATTTTTTCATGCTGTAGTTAGATCAGAGAGCAAGTATAAAGATCACTCACACAGAGTTGTTTACTGATTTTTGGCTCCTATTTATTTATAAAGCTCGTTGTACAAGCGATTGAAAATTGGGGGGAGGGGGTTCTATGTCTGCTAATTTCTGTGAATTTGTGGTATGTTGGGTCCAAATTTAAAAAAATCTGCCCAAATAAATGAACTTAATTGGTCTTGGGATATTTTACCTATTTTTTGCTTTTGCAATTGTTTGAGATTTAAGTAAACTTGAGAAAATTTGGTAAAATTTTAAATTTTAGCGAATGGGCAAAAATTATGAAAATTTGGCAACAATGAAACTTTGGCAAAATTTATCCATTATTGGCATTTAAGTAAAATTGGCAAAATTTAAGTAAAATTTTAGAAACTTGTCAAAAATTAATTAAATTAGACCAAAATTAAGAAAACTTTGCAAAATTTAAGCAAATTTGGCAAAATTGAGGTAAATTGGCAAACATACAGCAAATTTGACAGAATTTCAGCAAATTTGGCAAAATTTTAGCAAATTTGGCAAAATTTCATCAAATTTGGCAAGATTTAAGCAAATTTGGCAAGATTTTAAGCAAATTTGGTAAAATTGAAACAAATTTGACAAAATTTAAGCAAATTTGGCAAAATTTAAGCAAATTTGGCAAAATTTAAGCACATTTGGCAAATTTGGCAGAAAATATTAGAACCCCCCCCTGACAAATCCTGGCTACGCCACTGAGGTATACAATAAAAATGACGTCACAGCACCCCCCCCCCCCCTCCCCCCTGGATAATTTTCTTAGGGAGCAGGGTTCCATTAAAAGAACAAAAAGATTTGCAAAAAACATATACATTTAACATGTTCTTACTTTATTTATTGCCAGATCAAATATTGAAATCACAATAATTTTAGCCAGGGCCTTTAACAAATTGATTCAATAATGAAATTTTATCTACGATAGTTAATTGTATTTATGTTATTTTACATTCATGTATTTTAACATTATGTAGTATATGTAGTATAGTAAAAGAAACAAAGATCATTTTGGGCTTGGACTGTTATTCAAGAATTCGTGTCATTACAGTATTCTATACTATTCAATGCACGTCATGTAAATTGAGATTTTCTGCAAATAATGGTAATTTCATAAAATGTTTTCTATATTTATAAAGATCAAACCACAACCGATTTGATTTAGCTAATTTTGATATTCTGTGGCATCAACTCATGATGATGTAATCTCGATAGATACTATTATGACATCAGCTATTGACTCTGCTTCTATGAAATATTAGAATTTCTCTTAATTAGATGATTCTATGTATTTGATATTATGATTAAAGGTAATATCCGAGACTGTCGCCATCTCCATAGATACAGCATAAGCTACATTTACCGCCATTGTGAGGATATTGTGCTTTTCATTTCTTTAGTAATTATTTAATTAATTAAAGGTAATATTCGAGACTGGCGCGATATCCATAGATACAGCATAAGCTACATTGTGTTTTTCATTTCTTTAGTAATTATTTGACTAATTAAAGGTAATATCCGAGACTGGCGCGATCTCCACAGATACAGCACAAGCTACATTGTGTTTTTCATTTCTTTAGTAATTATTTGACTAATTAAAGGTAATATCCGAGACTGGCGCGATCTCCACAGATACAGCACAAGCTACATTGTGTTTTACATTTCTTTAGTAATTATTTGACTAATTAAAGGTAATATCCGAGACTGGCGCGATCTCCACAGATACAGCACAAGCTACCTCCATTGTGAAGATATTGTGTTTTTCATTTCTTTTGTAATTATTTGACTTATTAAAGGTAATATCCGAGACTAGCACGATCTCCAAAGATACAGCATAAGCTACATTGTGTTTTCATTTCTTTAGTAATTATTTGATTAATTAAAGGTAATATCCGAGACTGTCGCGATCTCCACAGATACAGCACAAGCTACATTGTGTTTTTCATTTCTTTAGTAATTATTTGACTTATTAAAGGTAATATCCGAGACTAGCACGATCTCCACAGATACAGCACAGGCTACATTGTGTTTTTCATTTCTTTAGTAATTATTTGACTAATTAAAGGTAATATCCGAGACTGGCGCGATCTCCACAGATACAGCATAAGCTACCTCCACTGTGAAGATATTGTGTTTTTAATATCTTTAGTTGTTAGTAATTATTTGACTAATTAAAGGTAATATCCGAGACTGGCGCGATCTCCACAGATACAGCATAAGCTACCTCCACTGTGAAGATATTGTGTTTTTAATATCTTTAGTTGTTAGTAATTATTTGACTAATTAAAGGTAATATCCGAGACTGGCGCGATCTCCACAGATACAGCATAAGCTACCTCCACTGTGAAGATATTGTGTTTTTAATATCTTTAGTTGTTAGTAATTATTTGACTAATTAAAGGTAATATCCGAGACTGGTGCGATCTCCACAGATACAGCATAAGCTACCTCCACTGTGAAGATATTGTGTTTTTAATATCTTTAGTTGTTAGTAATTACTTGACTAATTAAAGGTAATATCCGAGACTGGCGCGATCTCCACAGATACAGCATAAGCTACCTCCATTGTGAAGATGGAATGGCCGCAGCAATTGGGGTCATCTGTATGCCGCTCACCATGTCTAGGTATTGGAAATATATCTTTTAGGGATATCTCTTAAGGGATGGTGTGGTGGTGTCCAGATATTAATAGATGTGCAGAACTAAATTAATCCCCCTCCTCCTTCTTCCCCCTGCCAATAAACAATTTGGAAGCGCCCGATTAAACTGAATCACGTGATCTAATTATGCGCCAAAGACGTATTACATGATTGCTGTCGCAGTGTTCTGGATTTTGAAGCCCTGTGATCGGAGGATGCATTTGAAGTGAAATGTAAAAATGTTAATTGGACTTTCACTAGAGTTTTCAATACATAAATTTCACTCTTGAAGTCCAACTTAAGAAGCGGTTGGTGTCTGTAATAAATTCTTTAAACTTCAAATAACTTAACAAATACTGTTTAGACTGACTTTAGTTTTTTTTCAAAATCATCTTCAAGTTTTCAGAAGTTCAAATCTGACTTAATATTCAAGATTTGACCTTCAATGACCTTTTCAAGGTCAAAAAATGTCAAAAAGTCTTTATTTCAACTTGCGTCAAATTGACCAAATTTTTTTCAAAATCATCTACAAGTTATCAGAATTTGAAATCTGACTTTAGATTTGAGATTTGACTTTTTCAACTTGCTTCAAATTGACCAATTTATTTTTTCAAAACCATCTACAAGTTCTAGAAGTTCAAATCATGACTTTGGAATTGAGATAATAATAATAATTCTCAAAGCTTTCATAGATCACCTAAAGAAGCAAGTGCATCTGCTAATACCTGGGTCACATTTGCTCCGATCCATCAGCCGGCGCCCACCGGTTGAGTGTTTTGTTCAATATTGTATATCAATTTTGAACAAAATACTCAATCGCCCAGGCGCCATAGTAAAAATCGGAGCAAATGTGACCACAGCATTAGAAGTGAAAAATATTCATATATAATTAGCTTACTTTTATTAATTACTTACTTTTATTATTAATTAATTTGCTTACTTTTTAATTAGCCAACTTGTTTTCACCTATTTAGTAAAAAATTCTGGAGAGCATGCTAATTACTAACCCATAGTTAACAAAATGAATAAACAGTTTCAAGGGCATAGAATATACATGTACATGTACCATAAACTCCTTTTTCCATTTTTATCCACAGGATTGTAATGGGTTATGTTGTCCAACCAGGGGGAATTTGTGAAGTGGCCTCATGGACAGACTTTGAACTTTATAAAATAGGCGAAGATGGCACACCGCCCAAGAGTCTCACATTCAGCTTTATTGCAGGTATATTTCTCATTTTTCTAACGATTATTCTCTTTAAATGTGAATAACAGTTGGTTGGTGGTGTTTGGCAGGTGGAGCTTGGTGTTTGGCAGATGGTGTTCAGTGTCTGTAACAAATGTAACCAATGACAGGTGGTGACAATCTGCATGTTAATACATTGTTATAAATACCTTAATTGTGAATCTTAGGGCCATTAGCAGAAACTTTGTAAAAGTTAAGAATTCCTATGACTATTGTTCTCTTACAATGACATCATTACATTGATATCCATGGTTACAATTGGATGTGGAATTCTCAACTTTAAGAAGTTTCTGTTAATGACTCCCTGAATATCTCTTATAGGTGGCAAAAAATATGACGTCAAATATGAAGTTGTCGAGGCCCCAACATTCTACATGGGGTATGAGTGGGAGGCAAGAATCATTGAAAACTTTGTCAAGGGAACGATAAACGGAAAAGCATGCTGGGGTATAAGCGAATGGGACTACAGGTAAGAGCTTGGAGCTCATAATAGATAAGAATTTAGTAATGCAGACAGAACAACAGACAAACAGGGAGGGGGAAGGCAGGCAAGCCGACTGACCGACCAACCGACTGACCGATGAACTGACCAATAAACAAGATGGATAGATGAGGACACAAAGATGATCATTTTGGTGAATGATACATGAACATGCATATTTTAAGAAATCATCACTTTAATAAAATTGAAGATATATTCTCTCGATAAGATTATTAATACTTCTCTTTTCACAATTTTCTTTTTTTGTAAGAACTTATATGCAATATATCTACATTTTCAACTGCTTTTTAGTATCAATTTCTGTATGTACATATACAATATATACAACATGCTCTTTGCTATCATAAATTTCAACAAGAGCAAACTACAGTTTTGACCTCCTGAATTTTAAGATATCGAATCCTGATTCAGACCCATTTTTATAGGTACCCCAAATGTCTCATTTATTAAGTCATCACCAAAAGTGGTGACATATTGTTATGATCTCCATTTTTTGTGACGGTTGTTGGTCGTTGGTGGATGTTGGTTGGTGATCGGTGTCTGTTCTCAAAACTTTCAATAACTTATCAAATGCTGTTCAGAGTGACTTCAATTTTTTTCATAATCGCATCTACAAGTTATCAGAAGTTCAAATCTGACCTTAGATTTGAGATTTGAGCTTCAATGACCTTCTCAAGGTCAAAAAGGTCTTTTTCAACTTACTTCAAATTGACCATTTTTTTAATAATCTACAAATTCTCAGAAGTTCAAATCTGACTTTAGATTTGAGATCCGACTTTCAATGACCTTCTCAAGGTCATAAAAGGTCAAAAAGGTCTTTTTTAAACTTGCTTCAAATTGATCAATTTTTTGTCAAAATCATCAATTCAGATTTGAGATTTGACCTTCAATGACCCTCTCAAGATAAAAAGGTCAAAAGATATTTTTTCAACTTGCTTTAAATTGACCAATTTTTTCAAAATCATCTACAAGTTCTCAGAAGTTCAAATCTGACTAAGATTAAACTCATATAAATATCGTGAGAATCTAAATGTCTCTCATTGGCACCAAATTAGGCACATATTCTATATGAGCCTCAAACACAGGAAAACGGGTCTTATCACAAAAATTGAAATTGTGCCCACCCCTAAGATTAAGAGGAAAATGTGCAAAATTCAAATCCTTATTTTCGGTCTATATCTGCAAGACATAAGCCAATTGGCTCATTTGAATTAGGGTCTCTTTGTGCTTTTTAAGATAAACGAAAAATCAAAATATTGAAAAAAATCTGTGATAAGACCCCTTTTTCCTGTGCCCTGGCTCGTGTATCATTATGACCATTTTTCTCGATGGATTCAGACTTGTTTTGACAGAATGAACTACATGTAATTACTTTGCACATTTAAGCTTGATTATTATTCATATAATACAATGAACTAGTATGTCAATTCTAAAGAAGCAATATCCTGATGAGATGGATTGAGGCATTATCAAATTGTGGTGTACATATTTCAGGAACTCAGCAGTCTTAGGTATCTGAATTGATATTTAAGCCTGATTACTTATTAGATGAAATGAATCATAACATATTTTCTTAATAATGAGATATTTGGTGACATTAAGAAATTGTAATTATTTCAGACATGATCATCATATCCAAATGGGATGATGGTAAACCCAACAACACATGGAAAGTTATGCGTTCTCAGATTGAGGAAGTACTGAAAACAATGAAAATGTTTAAATCTTAATTTGAGCCTCATAGGCTGCGGTATGCACTTGTACAATTGCACAATTGTATAATTGCACATTATTGCAACAACCTGTGTGTATAGGACTTACATGTACTATAGTTCAGTAGGTCATTGAAAGTTCAGAATATTCCCCCACTCACTCTTTGGCTTTACATACTTGTACTATTTGTGCCTTATTCTAATTCTATGTACTTATATTGTATGTATTTGTATGTATTACATTTTGTTTATGGTTTGGTAGGAAATCCACCTACCTACATTTTTCAATGTTCAAGTTTGAAAACTTTTCAATTCTCTTTTTATCTACAATTGATACACAATGTTACTAGCTACTATATGTCATAATGTTGACAGCAAATATTCCTATAAGATGTACATACTATTTCAAAACATATGTATAACATTTTTATGATCATAATTTAATGCCTGAAAATAACATGATTGGTACATGGCTTCAATTGCCATTTGCCTCTTTATTTGAAGATGACTTTATAGATGCTGCTCCATATGGATCATCTCTTTCCATTTTTTCCGATAAACTTTTTAATCCTATACATCTTCTTCCTGCTGAGGAATCTGATGACTCAAGGTTCTCTGAATTCACAGAAACCTTTATTGGCAAATGTAATTATCATGAAACACATGAACTTAAGAACAAAATAGGGTCGTCTTTAAATACAGAGCTTTCAATTCTTAATCTCAACTCCAGAAGTATCTTAGCTAATCAGTGGAAACTGGATAACTTATTAGCTACTACTGGGGTAAATTTTTCTATAATTGCTTTATCTGAAACTTGGCTTAATGCATCAAATCAAAACCAGTTTAACTTACCTAACTACTCATCAGAATTTAATTCTAGAATAGATAAAAGAGGGGGTGGTGTCTGTATAAATGTTCACAACTCCTTGCAGTATATTACACGCAATGACCTTAGGGTTGATAATCTAGAATGTGAATCAGTAGCTATTGAATTAATCAGTCAAAACTCAAAAAATATCATTATTACTGTCATATATAAGCCACCTGGTGTTGATGTGTTACAATTTAATAGTGACTTATTGCAAAACAGGAAAAGCTTACAAGTCCTTCAACCATAAACTTAAGCACATAATTAAATACTCAAAACGTACATATTATCAAAATAAGTTTGCCGAAGTAAGTGGTAACATTAAAAAGTCTTGGTCTATCATTAATGAACTACTTGGAAAAAACAAAAAGAGCTGCATTGCCATCTAAATTCACTATAAATGGAAAGGAAACAACAGATCATGAAATCATTTCTAATGGATTTAATAATTTTTTTGCCAATATTGGTAAAAATCTAGCCAAGGAGATTCCAAAATCCAAAAAATGCTTTAATGAATACCTAGCAAGAGCTCAAAAAGTTCAATCATCTATTTATCTCAAAAAGACCTCAAAAACTGAGCTTGAATTAGAAATGTGTCTTCTAAAATCTTCCTCGCCTGGACCTGATGGGATTCTACCGTCACTTATTAAGTCTGCAAGACAGTTTTTAATTGATCCACTCTTGTATATATTTAACTTATCTTTTAAATCTGGTATTTTCCCAGACGCCCTGAAATTGGCCAAAGTAACACCTGTATTTAAAAAAGGTGTCACTACAAATCCTTCTAACTATAGACCAATTTCAGTTTTATCGGTATTTTCTAAATTGTTAGAAAAGCTCATGCACGCCAAACTCACTGGTTTTTTAGAACGTTTTGAAGTTATTTTTACTTATCAATTTGGATTTCAGAAATTCAATTCTACCTACATGGCCATTTTATATTTCATTGAACAAATTCGTAAATCAACTGACTTGGGGAAAACGAGCATTGGCATAACATTAGATTTTTCCAAGGCCTTTGACACAATTAATCATGACATTTTGATACAAAAACTTGAATATTATGGCATCAGAGGAATAGCTAAGTCCTGGTTTGAAAGTTATTTAAAAGACCGCAAACAATATGTCACCATTAACAATTATGAATCTAAACAATCATCTCTAAATTGTGGTGTTCCGCAGGGCTCGGTACTTGGACCACTATTATTTATTCTTTACATAAATGATCTGCCTTTTGTTGCCCCTAATCTAAAATTTATAATGTTTGCTGATGACACCAATCTTCTTGATAGTGATTGTGATTTAAATGAACTTATGACTAGAACTAATGCAAACTTGAATTCAATAGATGACTGGATAAAAGCAAACAAACTTTCACTTAATATTGGCAAAACCAATGCTATTCTATTTGGACCCAAAAAAAATCAAACAAATCTGAATCTTAAAATACGCAATGAGAACATAAATTTCCGGGAAAAAATTGACTTTCTTGGAATTATTATTGATAAAAACCTGAAATTTAAAGAACACATAAAATCTGTTGAAACGAAGATTTCTCGCGTCATTGGTTCTCTTTATCACATTAAACATCTACTTCAATTAGACAGTTTCAAAACAATTTACTACTCATTGATACACTCTCAATTAAATTATTGCAACATAATCTGGGGTAACACATTTAAATAAACTACATAAACTGCAGAAACAATTCTTAAGGCTAGCTTTAAATAAGGATAGACTTTCACACTCCACTCCCCTATTTAAAGATCTTAAAATATTAAATATTTTTGATGTCAACAGATATTGTACTGGTCAGTTCATGTACAAAATCTTTAATAAACACCCCAGTCTTCCAAAAAATCTATTTCAAGACTTGTTTGATATCAACATTAATATTCATCATCATTACACAAGACAATTGCATTATTTTCATATCCCTAAATGCTCTAAACTTTCCCTTCGCTATCTAGGTCCTAATCTTTGGAATGCTCTACCACATGATATTAAAAAATGCTCCACTCTAAATATTTTCAAATCTTCATATAAAAAACTACTCATCTACGATAATGCATAATACCAATCAGATCATACTGTATTGTGATTTATACTGGTACCTGATTTTTTGTAACATTTTTATATTGTACATCCTTAGATAAATTGTTAATACCATTTTTATATACCTACATGTAACATAATATAAGTGTTTTCTTTTATATGTAGTCTAGATGTCATTTTAATAATTTCTGTTAAACCGCAACATATACCCACTAGGGTGTCTAGCGGCTTGTTTTTATAGTGTATATTATATAAGAATTATGAAATAAATAGAATTGAATTGAATTGAATTGACATTCAGCAAGTAGAGATAATTTTGATTTACGTCATTAAATATTCAAGATAAAGTCAAAGTGATATAATATTTGAAATCTACATGTAGAAGTGTGGTTTCAACAATTGTTTAACAGCTTTGAAAAATTTTAATTTTCTTTGAAAGTGCTATAGGTGGTAAGGTAGATTCTCCATAGACCCCATGTTATTAAATCACAAAAAGTGAATTTCTTTTCTTGTTACATCGGATGGATAATTTTTCTTTTACTGATGACATTTCTTAATTTGTGTAACTACAGGCCCATAGCCAGGGGGGGAGGTTCGCAGGGTTCGGGTGACCCCCCCCCCCTGGCCAAAAATTCTTTCAAAATCATGTTTTTTTCACCATTTAGAGCACTTCTCTTGTGATTTTAGCCATATTTGGGCCAATTGTCTAATGTGAACCCCCCTGGAAATTATCTGGGTTATTAGACAGTGTCTTAGAGATCTGACTTGATCACATTATTTTTTCTGAAGAGGTGTTCAAAAAATTGAACTAGTTTCTTTTGCATTAAATGAGGAAAATATCACATAGACAAAGTAACTCTTCAACCTGTTAATCAAACTAAAAGAACCATATGAAATATCTATGTTCAATAAGAAGACACAAACATAAGACGACTATTATAAGTAATATAGATCTCTGAAAATGAAATTGCTTAAGCATTTTGATTGGTCTAAAGCTCTCCAAGCCTGCCTCCAACATGATTTGATTGACTGATGTCAGAGCAGTATATATGTTATTAAATTCGAATGAGGTGGCAAAAAACAGAACTGTGCCAGTGACAATGATGCAGTTAGCACAGTGGAAAAAATGCTACAATTTAGAAAGTGATATAGAGTAGCGCTAGAATGCCAATGAGTATATAGCAACCAAAATTGTTTAAACATTTTCTCTTAAACCTTAATAATAAAAGTTAATCCAAAAAATTAAGGGCAATTTTGGTTGCAATTTTTTGATAAACTCGAGACATCTGTCGCAAATTATTACACTGAAATGTTGACATCATCAGCCAAGAACAATAAGACTTCATATGTACTGGTATATGCAGAAAATTCAGAGGAAATCTGAGACTGATCAGGTAACACAAGCCTATTACTGGAATTTCATTTGGAGACAATAGACATAAAGAAAAACCATCTGGTGGACAATCTAAAAACTTTGAAGATCAATAGAGTATTAAATGCACTTTAATGTAAAAAATAAAGGATTTGTAGTGATATGGTGAGCTATATTCAACATTGTTTTTCTCCTAAACCAATTATTGTTGAAAACAATCTGAAAAACACATCCTGTATGTAATAATCACTGATTGACAACAATTTATGTTTTTTAGTGCAATTTTTTTTTTTTCATTTCTACCGATTCTTAGAGAATGAAATAAAATATCTATCCAAACCTTGTTGCATCAAAATGGCATATCAGACTGTACTTGGATCTCTAAATATTGTCATTAATTTAAAGGGAAGTTTGGTTCATCAAAAAAATATCTAAAAACAGATAAAATAAATACCCCCAAAATATATAGAATTAAAAATATAACATAATTATTTTAAATGAACCAAATGTTCCTTTGTGTAATTACACTATTGAGAGACCTAAATATGTTTTTTGTCATTTTGTTCCAGCAAATTCGTAGAGATGTTTCATTTCATTTCAAACAATGTGGTACGATAGAACAAAAGAAAATGTCTGATGTGTGTGATGTGAATATTTTCAAATTTAATTGTTACCATTCAAAGGATAACCATTACATTGATGATGCTTAAATTTTTCAGAATTTTTTTGATAACTGGTTTAGAGAAAAATGTGTTCAATTTACCACCATATCACTACCAATCCTTTGTTAATTTTCTTAAATCTAGGATTCATAATGTATTAGACATTAACAGATTGCTTACAAACAATCTGAAGCATTTTTAATATAAACATGGACTTAGGCCCATGACCTAACTTTACAGCTAAAGCCTCACTGCCCAACAATTGCCTATAAAAGGATAAAATGACAATGAAAATATTAATCCTGTGGTCAGTGACATTGGCAATACTCTATCAGGATCTTCATGCAGACACTCATCTTATTGTGACTCAGCTGAACAATACTCATCCAAACAGTACTCAACTTAACATTTTTAAAACGAATGGTACTAATCCTAGCAGTACTTTGGGTAGCAGTACTCAGCTTAACAATACTCAAACAAGCAGTACCCAAATTAATGTTACTCAAGTAAATAATAATCAACAAGATGATATCGAGGACACTGGTGAATGTGGTTCACCTATTGATCTGTATAAGAACTGTGTTTTGAATACATGCAGTGGAAGATGTGGGGATAGAGCTAATTACTCCATCCCTGGCAGTTTATGCTCTTGTGACAACGCTTGCACTATTTATGGAGATTGTTGCAAGGACTTCAAATCAAAATGTGGCAATTTTAGCCAAGGTGACTTTGTTCAATTGAAACCGACTGATTTTACATGCAAGAAGCATGCTCCTGACAAGTATGTCTTTATGAGAGTAACCTGTAAGCCGAGCTACAGCAACGAGGCTGTCATCAAGGAGTGTTACATGAATTCTGGGTTTGAAGGCATGGTACCGGTCTCAGATCCTAAGACTGAGATTGTATATTCCAATTACTTCTGTGCACTGTGTAATGATGTGACATATGTCGTGCCTTGGGAGCTGACAGTTATGTGCAAAAAAGCTGGGCTCCCAAAAAATGACATTAGATGGAGCGAACTTATGTTGTCATTTCTTAACTCTAATATTGTTGGAAGGAGATGTGATATATACACTCAACCATCAATAGCCCTCAAAAGTGTGATTCCAGTCAAATGTGCTCCTGTTGATTCAAAATGTTCTTGGAGATGTAGAGATCCCAGCATCATAAAACTCTGTAAGAATGGAGAATATGACCCGCAATATGACCAATTTGGACTTGTTCGAAACAACCATTGCTTTCAGTGTCTGAATTATGGACTGCGTGACAAATGTCCATTTGGAGATAGGAAGTCAATAGAACAATTGGTATATATGTTTTCTTACACTCTTCTGTTAGATGTAGTAGAGGAGGCCGTATTTAGTGTAAAACTTAAATCAGGATTTGGTATTAACAAAATCAACTCAGAAGCAGAGATTGATCATGGTGAAGTACGTTTGACAACTTGTGGTGCACCATTTGTTTTAATTAACGGAAAATGTGAGCTGGATGGAATGTACATTGCTGTTTTATGTGATTTTGACATAGATTCATCAAATGTCACATATACAGTGCTGACTCAAGATCAGGAAATTAGCATAAGTGGAAAAATCAGAGAAATATATGACGCTATCGGACTGGTTGGATTAGATTACCGTAAAAGAAGTGACATGAAATTAAGGTTGAAATGGTATGTCAGTATGCCCTTTGAAACTGGCATGTGGAGATTGGTACATTTAGAATATGAGAAAACCTTCTTGAATTATCTGAAAACAATCTTCCCTTGTATACTGTCAAATGAATGCAGCTATACCAAGAGCAAGGCTGGGAGCAAGGATATTCCAAGAATCAAACAAACAATCAATGTATCAAGCAATAAGAGGATTGAATCTGGATTGAATAATCAAAAGACAATCAATAGCAGCAGCTCTACAGTTGAAAACAAGTTGTCGCCAGAATTTATAATTCTTATACTGACATTATGCTTTGCATGGACCGTGTAACAATTTTTCTCATTAATCATAATGTGAAAATCATTGTTTTGGTCTAAAGATGTCACCACCACTACTGACCCAGAACATAGTCAGAAAATGTCATCTTTGTTGACACTTTGTCATGTTCATGCCTTGTTTATTTATACAATCCAGAATATAATATCTCTGTATTCATGCAAGAGAACCAAAATATTATATTGAATATGTTATTAAAAATAATGATATAGATTGAGTAAATAAATCAGTTTTAGAATGTGTTGTTCCTTTCTTATTAATAATATAAACAACTTGGCACTCATGGTTGGTTTTATTTACACGTAAGTTGGCCATGTGGACACATTGTCTCCTGAAGGAGAAGAAGGAGAAGTGTCTCAACTGGATAAACCAGACTCCATTTCCCCATCTCCTCAGGTATAATGTTATTTAACCTCTTGAATCCCGGGCTCTAAAATCCGTTGAAACCAGAGAGTTTTTCATTTTTGCCACCTTTTTATTACACTTTACTGCAGCTATACAACTCACATTTTTAAAAAAATTTCGTTTAAACTCAATGAAAATTGTTCAAAATAAGAGCAATTTTAGTGAAAAATTTTGTGAAAGATTTTCTTTCACTCTGGGTTTCAAGGTCATTTCTGAGGTGACAAGAAATCTCATCACTCCAGGTATTCAAGAGGTTTAAGGTGCAACAAGTAGTGCAGAGGGGCCATTCAACGATCATGGACCAGTGTCAAAATATATTTAATTTTGGTTATTTCATCAAGACTGACATCTATTTAATCATTATTTCAGCTTACATTCCTCTTGAAACATGGTGAATCTTAAGAATATAAAAGTCCCCTTTTTGAAGCTTTGAACTGAATTTACACTTTTTAATGCCGAAATTGATAGTTTATCCATACATTTTAAGAAAATAGGTATGTTGATGAAGATGTTAAGCCAACTGTTGCATTGATAGCTCAGAAAAAATTTTAATTTTCCTATTTTCTCTCTACAAGCCTTATTGCCCCTTTAAAGCAAGTAAAATAGGTAAAAGTTTGTAAAAAGGTAAATTGAAGATTCTTACTAAAAACATCTATTTTAATTGGCAGTTTTTATTATATCTTTTTGGTAGCACTTCGTGTCATTTCTAGTTTCAAAAAGTTTGTCCAGAAGTTTGTACCCATAAGTACCTAAAAATGCCCCCAAAGATCTGAAATAAAAATCGGCAAAAAGTTATATCATTGCCATTTTAGCCATCATTCACTTTTGAGCAACACCATACGAGCCCAGTACCCACAGTACTATTTATTTTTATAAGTACTCAATATTTATTTTTCAATAATCATTTATAATACAGCCAATCACTGAAAAGTCATTTCAGACTTAGACTTGAGTCAATGCTTTTGCAGTGAAAGGTATAGAGTGAGCTTCCTGGTCATCTCAACCCCAAGTCAACTCATATTCTAAAAACCTGTAAAGTGGAATACCTCTAGATGCGGAACACTTCTTCTGTTAGTGGAACACATCAGTCCCAAGGCCAACTGACTTAATGTTAAATAAACCTCTAGGTCAAAGGTGTTCCTCTTAAACAGGTTTTTACTAGATATGGAAAATGAAATAATCATGTCAATAATCATTGCAATTGTCCTTTGAACACACACCAGAACTTTAAATCAGCATATATGAAAAATTGTTACAAGGTCCATGCAATGCATATTGTCAGTAGTAGAATTATAAATTGTGGTGATGACTTCTTTTCAACCATAGAGCTGCTGCTTTTGATTGTCTTTTGGTTATTCAGTCCAGATGTACTATTATCGCTTGATACATTGATTGTTTGGTTGGTTCTTGGAATAACCTTGCTCCCAGCATTGCTCTTGGTATATATACATTCATTTGACAGTATATTCGGGAGGATTATTTTCAGATAATTCAACAAGGTTTTCTCATATTCTAAATGTACCGATCTCCACATGTCAGTGTCAAAGGGCATACTGACAAACCATTTCAACCTTAATTTCATGTCACTTACATGATAATCTAATCCAACCAGTCCAATAGCATCATATATTTCTCTGATTTTCCCAGTAATGTTAATTTCCTGATCTTGAGTCAGCGCCATATATGTGACATTTGATGAGTCTATGTCAAAGTCACACATTATAGCAATGTACATTCCATTCAGTTCGCATTTTCCGTTAAGTAAAACAAATGGTGCACCACAAGTTGTCAAACGTACTTCACCATGATCAATCTCCGCTTCTGTGTTGATCTTGTTAATACCAAATCCTGATTCAAGTTTTAAATTAAGTACGGCCTCTCTCTTTACATTTAACAGAAGAGTGTAAGAAAACATATATATGGATGGTTTTTCCGTCTTTATATCTGCAACTGGACATCTGGCTCGCACTTCTTTATTCAGACACTGTAAGCAATATTTGTTTCGAACAAGTCTAGATTGGTCATATTGCGGGTCATATTCTCCATCCTTGCAGAGCTTTATGATGTGAGGATCTCTACAACTCCAAGAACATTTTGAAACAACAGGAGCACATTTGACTGGAGATGTTTCTTCGAGGGATATTGGTGCTTGAGTGTATGCATCACATCTCCTCAGAAGAACATTAGAGTCAAGAAATGATTGTATGAGTTCACTCCATATGATGTCATTGCCTGGGAGTCCACCTTTGTTGCACATAACTGTCAGCTCCCAAGGAATGACATTTGTCGCATCATTACACAGGGCGCAGAAGTAATTGGAATATACAATCTTGGTGTTAGGATCTGAAACTGGTATCATGCCTTCAAATCCTGAATTCATGTAACACTCCTTGATGACAGCCTCATTGCTGTAGCTCGGCTTACAGGTTACTCTCATAAAGACATACTTGTCAGGAGCATGCTTCTTGCATGTAAAATCAGTCGGTTTCAATTGAACAAAGTCACCTTGGCTAAAATTGCTACATTTTGATTTGAAGTCTTTGCAACAATCTCCATAAATAGTGCAAGCATTGTCACAAGAGCATAAACTGCCAGCGATGGAGTAATTAGCTCTATCCCCACATCTTCCACTGCATGTATTCACAACACAGTTCCTATACAGATCAATAGGTGAACCACATTCACCAGTGTCCTCGATATCATCTTGCTCATGATTATTTACTTGAGTAACATTAATTTTGGCACTGCTTGTTTGAGTATTGTTAAGTTGAGTACTGCTACCCAAAGCACTGCTAGGATTAGCACCATTAGTTTTAAAACTGTTAAGTTTAGTACTGTTTAGATGAGTATTGTTCAGCTGAGTCACAATAAGATGAGTGTCTGCATGAAGATCCTGATAGAGTATTGCCAATGTCACTGACCACAGGATTAATATTTTCATTGCCATTTTATTCTTTTTTTGCAAACGTTGTGCAGAGAGGCTTAACTTGTAAAATTAGGTCATACTCTGTGGTCTAAATCCATGATATAAGAAATTCTTCATCTTGTTTGTAACCACTCAATGGTCTTCACATGTGAATTTCAAATTCATTCAATAGACCAGAATTTATGACTCCACCTGCTTCCAATAAATTCTAGTAATATGTGGGTCCCACCTGAATAGTTATGGCTTGCAATAAATGTTCCTATATCTGCGATGTCCTTTGTGTGTTTGAATCCATATCCTGTCAGTGTTGCCAATACTGCAAAATATCGCGACAGATATCTTGAGTTTATCGAAACAATCCACAATTGCAACCAAATGGCTTTTATTTGTTGTCAAACTTTTATGGTAGAGGTTGGAAAAAATTAAGACAATCTTGGTTGCAATGTGTAACTAGCATTCTAGTGCTACTGTATATTTTTTCAACTTGTTGCATATATTACACTCTGCTAAATGAAGCATTGTTTCCAGCAAAATTATTTCTCTGCCAACTAATTCAAATTGAACTGCCTAAATACTGTGTTGTCACAAGTCAGTCAAATTATGTTGGAGGCAGGCTTGGAGAGCTTTGAACCAATCAAAATGCATGAACAATTTCATTTTCAGAGTGTCTATATTATATAGTTAGGTTTATGTTTGTCTCTACGTAGCCTAGATATTACTGCTTTTGGTTCAATCATCTGTTGAAAGCCCATGGTTCAATTAACAGATTGAAGAGTTTATTTGTATATGTGATAAGTTCCTCATTTGTTGTTAATGAAATCAATTTGAAGTTACATAATTAAGACACAATCATTATTTCCCCAACATCTCTTCAGGATATTACATCCTAAGAATTGATGCAATGGTCCATTGTATTGAAGTAATAATCAGGCAAAATTCACGTCAGATATTTAAATATTGTTGACAGCATGGAATGTGTTAATCGCAATTTCACAGTGTTACCAAACATTTCTTCACGATATTAAATCTTAAGAATTGACATATTAGTCCATTGTATCGGATAAATAATCAACATTAGATACATATCTCAATAATTACATGTTGTTCACTCTCTCATCTCAAAATGAGTCTTTCCTCAACAGAAACATGTTTCAATATAATACAAGAATGTGTGCCTGATTTGTTGTCAATGAAAAAAAAGAAATCAGAAAGGAGTGGTATCGATATGGAGAACTTTTTGAACACACGTTTCTCTTAAACCAGTCATAAAAAAAAATATTGTTTTAGAAAACATATCAAACACTTGTTTTGTTCTTGGTATCATGTTTCCAGAGTGAAATGAAACATCTTTCCGAACCTCATTGGAACAACACAACATAGACACAACATGTTTTAGTCTCTCAATATTGTAATTGTACAAAGGAAATTTTGGTTGATTTTAAAAAAGTATCTTGTTAATGAAATATATCTTGATTTTTATCTATTTTGGGGGGATTTTGTTTTAATTTTTCATTACTTTTTTAAAATCAACCCAAAATTCCTTTGTATAACTATAACCTGATAACATTGAGAGGTCTAAAAATATGTTGTAGATGCTACTTAAATGTTCCAACAAAGTTCGGAAAGACATTTTATCTCATTCTCAAGAATTGGTAGAAAGGATCAAAAACAATTGCACTAAAAAACAAAAAAGTTAACAAAAACAGTTAAATAAAATATTTCTAAATAATTTTTGCATTAAATTGTTGTCAATAAGTCAACATTACATAAAATACCGTGTTTTTTACTAAATGTTTTCAGTGATTGGGTTAAGAGAAAAACATTGTTGAATTTGGTTCTCCATATCGATACCAATCCTTTACAGGGTCATTTTAAAATGGATCTGGCATCAGGTAGCTTAAAATTCAAGAGGTTGATACTGTAGTTTGCTCCAAAATCTCAATTTATAAGAGCAAGTTGATTATGTGATCATCCTATACATACATGGCATTGAAATAATCATGAATGATCATTATTGTTTCAGGAATAAGACACATCCAAGAGAGAAAGAATACAAGGATGCTGATTCATATGGTGAATCAATCAAAGACAAGTTCCTCCCTGTACATTGATGGCTTAGAGATTCATAATCTTAAAGACAATTTTTTACATGTACACTGAAGGGCTAGAGGTCCATAATGTTAAAGTCAAGTTTTCACCTGTACACTAAAAGTACATGTATTGAGATTAATAATATTAGAGACTAGTTTTTACCTGTACACCGAAGGCCTAAAGAACAAATGTTCACCTGTACATTCAGGGTCCAGGGATCCATACACTATATATATACAGGTATATTGTTAAAGACAAGTTTTTATCTGTACATTGAATACAAATAGAACCATAATGTTAAAGAGACGTTTTTACTTCTCCACTGAAGGCCAGAAATCCATAATGTTAAAGACACGTTTTATCTATACAGTGAAGGCCCAGAGACCCCAGAAGTTTTTACCTGTATATTGAAGGCCTAGAGGTCCAACATGTTAAGGAAAAGTTTTACCGTACCTGTACATTGAAGGCCTGGACATCCATAATGTATAGAATAGTTTTTACCTGTACATTGAAAACCTATTGATCCATAATGTTAACGAGAAGTTTTTACCCGTAGCTTGAAGGCTTGCCAATCCATAATGTGAAAGACAAATTTATACCTGTATATTTATTAAGGCCTAGAGATCGATAATGTTAAAGACAAGTTTTACCCTACTACCTCCATTGCAGGCCTAGAGATCCATAAAGTTAGGGCAAGTTGTTACTGAATCTGTACCTTGACGGCCTAAAGATCCATTATGTGAAATACTGTTTTACCTGTACATTGAAGGCCTGGAGATCCATAATGTTTGAAACAAGTTTTTAATTGTACATCGGAGGCCTATGGGTCAATAATGGTGAAGCCTAGTTTTAACTTGTACATTGAAGGCCTACAGATCGAGCCATAATATGAAACACAAGTTTTTAACTGTACATTGAAGGCCTACAGATCCATAATGTTAAAAACAAGTGCCTTCCTGTTCACTGAAGGAAAAAGATTCACACCAGGGTGAATGTATTTTCATGAGGCTCTGGGTCAGAACATTTGTTATTTAGGGGATGTAACAAAATCAAAATAAAGCAATTGAAATCATAGGGTGAAATCTAATTCAATTTCAATATTTCATTGATATTTAGACCCAGCCTTTGTTTTGAAAATTCTTGCCATAAACTCTCAATTGCAAACTAACTGTGAAGAAAAAGATTTTTTTTATATTTCTGATATAAGTACATATGTACATGTAACTATGATAACCCATTGTCACCACTTTTCCCAAATTATGACCCAATTTTCACAATATGCTTGCCATACATGTATATTAAGGACAGGTGCATGTTGGAATTTTTTGCAATTTTGAAAATTAAACCACTGAATAGTCTAGTTATTCAAATAGCAAATTATCAACCTCAGTTAATAGTCTAGGTACACTAATACATATTTTGTGCAAGAATAAAAGATGTAGATGATGTGTTTAATGTTTATCTGAAAATAGCACATGGTCATGACATTTCATCAAAGTGCACCCTGACCTTAAGGCCTCTTTGTGAGGATAAAAGAATAAAAGCCGAAGACGTTAAGGCTATTGATATTGCCACACAAGCCAATGAGACAGTTGAAAGGTTCAATTTTCATAGACCAAGGTTTTTTATTTATTAAAATCATTTAAACACATGTACATAATAGTGAAAAAAGACACCCCAGGCGGTGTATGGCTTATCACAATCTGAAAAATATAAGATGGCATATTATTATTTTTTAACCTTATATGGGAAATCGTTTTAATTCCAAAGGTACGAAACATCGAAATATAAGTTACCAAAACTGGTAAACATACAAAATGTATAACACCATATTGTATAAAAGGATTTATGCAGTTTTGCTCTTCTCTTGCCTTTGTATGGATACTTAATTAATGAACTTCACATTCCATTTTAATCATTGAATGAGGAATATGTTTCATATATTTTTATAACTTAGGCTATAAACATTTATATTAAAGGGTAAATTAACAAACAACAGCATTATAAAATAAAAAAATCAACATTTTATAAGAATGCATGTATGTTTGGACATACTTAAAAATTTAAATTGTATTTTTGTGTCACCCACCACAAATGGTGACGGCATATTTTTATAGTCTCTTTTTATTGTGGATGGTGTTCAGCTGTTGGTGATTGGCAGTTAGCCTCTCTAACATATGCCGGATTAGATACGGCATTGCACTGTGTGATGTTTTGATGATACTGTGATTGCAAATGTATTTCATTCTTAAGGTACATGTACAGTATATGAAAAAATAAATTGAAATAATAATAAATTTATAAATTAAAGCCATGTTGTTGCTAGAATAGATATTTAGTCTCTGCAGTGTTGTAAAAGGGTCCACATAGTATTGTATTGTATTGTTTTGTATCATTTTGTTTACCACCAATGAAGGTGAGCAATACATGTACATGTACCTCTTGGGTTACTCACTTCGAGAGCCATGTTAGATTTTGAAACTTACATGTATGTATCAAAATCTACATAGCTTTCGCAGGAAGTAGCTCTTGGGTATATCCCGTATATATATACGATCGTAATTTACCTGGAAGATAGATCCAGAAACTCCTCCTTGAAATAGCCCTGTGTTATTTTATGTGCACTTATACATAGACATACAACACGGGGGTAAAGTAGACCCGGGTCTTAAATGTGCAATAATTCGTGCAGAGGGGTCATTCAACGATCATGGACCAGTGTCAAAATATATTTAAGTTTGGATATTTCATCAAGACTAACATCTATTTTTATTATCTACAAAGAAACCCCCTAGATAAACATTATTTCAGCTGGTATTCCTCTTGAAACATGGTGGATCTTAAAAATATAAAAGTGGAAGTCCCCTTTTTTGAAGCTTTGAACTGAATTTACACTTTTTCATGCTGAAATTGATAATTTATCCATACGTTTTAAGAAAATAGGTACGTCAAAGAAGATGTTAAACCAAATGTTGCCTTGATAGCTCAGAAAAAATCGGCGGTAGGTTCAAACAACGCGGATTCTCAAAGCATGTGCTCATGGTATATTCGTGTTTTAACACCCGTGTACAAGGGCAAACCAAAGCCTTTTGTACGAGTTGCGGACCACTGAGTCTCAAACACCATCAAGTGTTTCACGCAAACAAACACATTTAGACTTGCCTGGACCTATTGCGTAGGAGGTAAATGCGCTAGCCCTGAGCTACACCACGGGATACTAGAGTATCCGCGTATATTGAGTATGACCGGTGTGACAGATTTAAGTGTCCCCCGGTGGTCAGTGTCCGTGGGACAGCCAACCCTAGGGATCGGGGTCCGTAGGACCCCGATCCCTAGGGTTGGCTGTCCATTGGAGGACATTGAAAACCAGGTTTTATTTCCTATATTAACAAGGGTAAAATGGGGAGACATTTATAACTGGGGAGACTCTCAGATCTGTCACACCAGTAACAGATTGTGATGTCCCCCGTTGATAGGATTTAATACTTGTAGTTACTAGGATCCAAGTTATAGTGTAGTCGAAATCGGATATCGGCATCTCTCCCACTGTGGCGTAACGGTATAAGCGTTGGCATAATGTCTATTAATTGTGTTTGTATTTATTAGGTTCCAGGTTCGAATCCTGCATTGATATATCATGTGTAAATATATTAACCGTCTGCACCGTTTATATTGTATCGTATGTTATATTGTTTCAATAGATTGTAATATTCCATATTGTAGCCTATTATTATTGGTGCCCATTTTTTTCATTTTCAAAGGATACCACCAGTTTTTATAGATATTCTTTATTTATTTTTTTATTCATTCCTCCTAACCACTTTTCTCCTACTTCTAGCTAGGTCTGAGATAACTCTTATATGCTTCTACTAAGGACCTGAGCTGCACTTGGCAGGGAGGGAATTTTTATCTAGGTCAAGGTCAAAGGCCAAATCTAGGTCAAATCAGAGTTTTTTTAAGTTTCTCAGATTTTGTCTTAATATTTCATGATTATTTCTTGCAATGAATTAAAATGTAACTAGATGAGCATTCTCTACAAATTGCTTACTATATGTTTGCGTTAAATTTTTACCGTTTTTGAGATAATTGAGGTAAAAAAAATTGGTCATATTGCTTCAAATTGACTAATTTATTTTTAAAAATCATCTACAAGTCCCCGGGAACTCAAATCTGATCTTTCTTTTGACCTTCTGGGTTCAAATTTAGGTTTATTTAATCACAAAAAGACCCACTGATGTCTAAGAAAGTCAAAGGATAAGTATCGATATGGTGAACTGAATTCAACAATGTTTTTCTCTTAAACCATTTATAGGAAACATTCTGTAAAAAACACGGTCCTTTATGTAATGTTGACTGATTGGCAACAATTTAATGCAAAAATAATGTATATATATTTTATATAACTGTTTTTGTTAACATTTTTTTATGTAATTGTTTTTTTGTTCCTTTTTACGAATTCTTGAGAATGAAATAAAATGTCTTTCCGAACCTTGTTGGAACAAAATAGCATAAACAACATTTTCTTATACCTCTCAATATTATAGTTATACAAAGAAAATTTGGGTTGATTTAACAAAAAGTATCCAAAAACAAAACCCCTAAAATAGATAAAAATTAAGATAAACCTTTCATTTCATTAACAAGATACTTATTTAAAATAAACCAAACTTTCCTTTGTACAATTGCAATATTGAGAGAGCTAAACACGTTGTGTTTATATGTCGTTTTGTTCCAATGAGGTTCGGATAGATATTTCATTTCATTCCGAATATATGATACCAAGAACGAAAAAAGTGTCTGATGTGTTTTTCTAAAACAATATAGAGAAAAGTCCATATATATAATTCAAATTGTAATGTTACCATCCAAAATATGACCATTAAATGGACGATGTGTAAAATTTTCAGAATGTTTTGAGGACTGGTTTAAGAGAAACGCGTGTTCAAAAAGTTCATCATATCGATACCACTCCTTTGCAAGGTCAAATGTTAAGGTCATCAAACTAAATCACAAACTGTGTTTTCTTAGTTTATCAAAGTTGATGATTACAAATCAATATTTTTTGATGAAAGACAGAATATATATTCCACTAAAGGTTTTACACATATAAGCTATTGACTATCCATTAAAATTGTGCGACAGTTTTGAGATATTAGACATCAAAAACTGAAAAAAGGTCAAATTTCGAAACTTTTCAAGACTAAATTTCAACTTGCTTCAAATTGACCAAACATTTTTTAAGATCATCAAAACTATTCGAACGACCCTTGTATTTAGGAGTACATATACGCAATAAAATGTGACCTATGTTCATTAGTAGTAGAGGACAGTGATGCAGAGTCATTACGGTTAATGTAGGCTCACTTGATGTCTATGCAAATAAAAGCAATAATATACTTACATTTTGTGAATTGTGTTATATTTGGTCTATATTTAACGTGACAGAGTAGTGCTCGATGATTTATTAATGATAAAACGCATTATTAGTTAATACATAAATAAAGGGGGGGGGCATTAAAAACTAGCTTTCGAATGATGCTGGTTTTTAGTGTCCCCAAGGGGACATTCAAAACTTCAAGGGGGACACTTAAAACCTGGAGTTAACTGTCCGACGGACAAGCATCCCTAGGGTTGGCTGTCCCACGGACACTGGCCACTGGGGACACTTAGATCTATTACACCGGTTCTAAGCTTACGAGTGTGACCGTATTTCTGTTCCTATAAACAG